TTAATTTATATTTTTACGTGCAATTTATTAATTACAATTATTTGCATCGGAAATTTGTAATTTTTGAAACGGGAACCTAAGACGCGATGATAGTCTCTAATGCTGAGCTATAATCGCACGCTTGTCTAGATACTTTAGCATGATAGTTACAGAAACATTTTTGGATTAAATTACATAGATTCTTAAATTGTTACATTTACTATATAACTTACTATATAACTTAAGTATCGTTTTTAATCCTAAATTTTAGATTACTTGCCTGATATAGATATCCTATATTTCTCTATTACTTTTATCATATAATTTTATTATCGTTTTTAAACAATTTCTATCTGGTTCGTTTTATGAAAATTAATAATTAATAATTAATAATTAATAATATCCTGTCTAATATCGTGTCATAAATTTCAGATTATTTATCTAAAATATTTGATAGATTTTCTATATATATATATATTTCTGTATCATTTTTATCAGCTCAGATATCGTTTTCAATCAATTTCTATCAAAATAATATTCTTAATAATATTCTTTCGTATTTTTAGTTCATAAATTGTAGAATAAAATTTAATCGTAACTGAAATTTACGATTAAAAAAGGACATGGTAGAATATGACTAATTTTGATAAAACAGGACTAAAATAATTGATTAAAACCGACATTTAAGTTGTATGACAAAAATGATACGGAAATAAAGGAAATATGTCTCGACTTTAGACGAATAATCTGAAATTTACGATTGAAAAACGATAGCATATTATTAATTTTAATAAAATATGATCAGATAAAAATAGATTCAAAATCTAGGCTATAACAAAAAACATAGGCTATATAACGAAGACGATAGACAAATATAGAAAATTTACAAATATAGCAAATAAGTAATCTAAAAAAAATTTACAATTAAAAATAATATTTAAACTGTATAATAAAAACGATATAATGTCTCTAAGAGATTATATAATTTAACCCAGAAATGTCCGTATATGTTACACAAGATATATGTTATGATTACAATAAGATAAATATCATGGAAAAATTATCTTATTTTATTGACAATATAATGGCAATATAATGTGACATTTTTAGGTTATTAAATAATTATTCAATAACCTAAATGAATAATTAATTAGATAACAACACGGTAGGATAATTTTTCTATAACGTCTATCTTATTTAAACATACATAGAACATAACATACATTAATCCGTTTTCGGAAATTATATAGATTCTAAATTATATAGATTCGTATAAATCATATTGTTGTTTATCTTATTAAATAGATAATGTTACAGAGAAGTTGTATACAATTAATTATTGTATCATTTAAATAAGATAAGATATAAAACGATAAATTTTACCATGTATGCTTTATTATGATGAAAGCGAAATAAAATTGTTCAATGATGAATTTGAAGAATGTCACATTATATTGATAGACGATAGATTACGATAATTTTTTTATTAAAAAAATCGGTCTTATTCAAACATAGAGACATATTTGGATTAAATTATAGATTATAGATAATAATTATAGATAATAATTATAGATAATTATAGATTCGTATAAACATCCTTTCGTTTATTTCTTATTAATCTTATTTAATAGTGATAGAATTATATAGAAAAACTTGTGATCTCTCGTAAATTCTATTCTCGTTGATTTAATATAAGATGTAAAAAAATAGAAATTTATAACTTTTTATCTATCGTGATTTTAATCACCTATCGTGATGTCCGATAGGTACGATAGGTTCTGACAAAAATTATATGACATTTCTATCAGATTTCTTTAAATTTCTATCGTTTTTTATTGAATTTTTTAACAAGAGGCATATAATAGTGCAGACAGTTAAACATGGTGAATCCAGCAAAGTACATTTCTTCAAACGAGATGCAAAAATGCATCATATCAAGAGTAATAAAAGAGTTTATCAAAAACCTAAAAAGTATATCTGGAATATGTATGGATGTTGGTTGTGGTCCCGGAGACATAACAAATAATATCCTTCTACCATCTCTTGATTTAAATTCTGTAATAATAGGTAAGAAGTAACAAATATTACAAATATGACAACATAATGTGGTGGAAAAATTATTCCTTAATTCAATGAGGTACTGATGTATACCTGTAGGTACTGATATTCAGATGACCATGATTGAATATGCGAAGAAAGTGTATAGTCACAATACTCGTCTCAAATTCGAAATGTTGGACATTCAAACTAAAAACTTACCTGAAAAATATATTTCTAAGTTTAATCACATATTTTCATTTTTTACTTTGCATTGGTGCAATGAACTCAGGTAAAAAAGTTGTTAAATAGGTGTAAATTTATCTTCTAAACTTATAATTTTATAGAAAAACAGTCAAAATATATAATTTATATTATATATATTTACTAGGAAACATATTCATATATAATTATCATTTTTAATGATATGTATTCTAATTTTTAATGATATGTATTCTTATTTTTAAACTATTATAAAATAAAAGAATGCTAGATGAATATGTTTTGAAGAAAAATGTTTCATAAAATTTAAAGAAATTATCGCGCTACTTCTTAGTCAATAGACGGTTTATTCATAGTAATACGTAAAACAATTAAAATAATGAAATAAAAAGTACTAACAATATCTTATGCCATTATACATAATATATAAATAATTATTGTTTATTTTATGTTATTAAATATTTTCAAAATGACAAAATAAAAGTTGTAAGATGCTCATTTGATACATATGCATCGTCCATTTGACATATTAGGTGCAGTAAAAAGAAATCCATTATTTTTCCATTCAATTTCATGCAAAAATAATGGATTTCTGTTTACTACACCTAATATATTTTATATTAGCTTTTTCATTGAAGAATATAAATTTCTTGTAAATTGTATCAATCTAAATGATTGTAAACTGATCAATTTAAATGAAACTTTACGAGAACATACTTAAGTATTTATTTTATAATTATAACAATTTTTTAATTGCTGTTTTATATGCAAGTGTCTCAATTTAAAAAATAATAACTATAGAATAAGGTTATACCTTCAACTTGTAATGTAAAATTCTATAAATTTAGGATTAAATATCTTCAAAATAGTACGATAAAAGTCAATGAAATTTTTTTTAGATATTATTGACATTATTAACATTTGTATTACATCGATATTATAAACTTCTCTTATAGTTCATCAAAAGCAAGAACTTCTTTAACCAAAGTTATTAGATGTGATTCGATAACATAAATAAGAAAGAGCATACAACTATATGCAAGATGTTTTTCGCACAAGTCATACATTTAAAATTAATTACAGTAAATACGTTTATTTTGCATATCGCGACGTGCATTTATAAAAAATGTTTCATTCTAATTCGGTATTTTAAAAGTTGTTAATAAAATACCGCACTATATTGATTCTTTTCAAAAAAATATTGTAACACATGTATTATAATATAAATTGATAACATTTCTTTGTTATAACAGGAAAGTATTTGAAAATATATACTGCATGCTTCAACCTGGTGGAACTATGCTTATACTGTTTCCAATTCATCATGTAATATTTGATGTGCTTAAGAATATTGCACATAATTTCCGTTTTGCGCCTTACTTACAGGTAATTTATACATTTTATATTTGTTTGCAGTTTTTCAGTGAAAATATTAATCATTATTTTTGCACAGAATCTAAATAAATACATACCATTATTTTATAATTTGGCCCTACCTAATGAAGATCTGAAAGACTTACTTGAAAGTATCGGCTTTAACGTTCAACATTGCAAGCTTTGGGAAGATTTTTTCGATATAAATACAGATGTATTTCTAAGTTAGTTTAGTCTTTAGTTATTGATATATATATATATATATATATATA